CTTGATGTTGGCTACCTAGGATGTGTACACTGATCTGCATACTTTGAAAAGGGCATTTTTTGTTTGAAACCAACAAACAAACAAATAAAAACTCTGTCAAAGTATTTTAAGGCAAGTCATTTCACTCGGTGGCTATCTTTGAAATGCCTCTTCTGTTTGAATGAGGAAACATCAAAATCTTCAAAATTACTTGCCAAGCTTACCATTACATTTCAAATTAGGAATCAACAATAACATTAAACAACAACAACTGTCTCTTTAGATTAATTTCTAAACATTTGAATTACAAAATCTGCAAGAATTTACACCTGGTTTGAGTCCCTCTTACAGAGAATCGCCATTCTATAGTGATTGCTGATTGGCTTCTGTACTAGAAGGTGTGGCTTTATTCACCATATTGACCATTACACTTTTCCCTATTCAAAGCTATATGAATACATCTTCTGTATTCTCTAGTCTTTGACTTTTGACTATTTTCCGAAAGTTCATCATCTTTACAGACTCTTTAAAAAAAAACAGTTGCTGTAATGTGTACAAGTAAAATTGTCCTTGTGTTCTGCTGCTAAATTGTAACTGCAATTAAAACATTCTGTCTCTGTCAAATCATGCAATATTTGATAACAACATCAAAATAAAAATCAGCCAAAACAATAACGGTTCATTTATTTTCAGTCAGTCTTTTTTTTCATTTTGGAGAGATAAAAAAACAGTTTTAGCTAACTAAAATAAGAAAAAGTTGCATATTCAAATCAAAGTGATTTAAATTTGAATCGCTTTTACAGTAGGTTTGCACAAATATACACACTTTTTCAAGCACTTTTAATTATATTCCATCAATACTTTTAGGTATTTAGGTATTCAGGTAAACTGATATTTTTTCACAAAATAAATGAAGCGGTTTCTAACCATTGCAGAACACCATTGAATTATATTACTTGAGCAATTCCAGCATTATTGATGTGACATTTGCAGTAAAAACTCGACACATAAATTCACATAGAAAGTATATGTTAACATTATATTGAAACATCTGTTTATATTTTCCAAAACAACTAACCACAGAGTTATGGGATCAGAAAATATCAATCTGTAAACATGTTTTATAGTTTAAACGAGGAAAATAAACATGCGTTATGGATGTGACCAAAAAAGTCGGCGATTTTACAGTACAAAACATACTTTGTAGAAATTCTGTGAATCAAACTGCACAACCCAAAATAAATAATGCTAATCAGAAGGATAAGAGGTGTCTCACTCTAAAATAAAAATGATTCATTTTATTTTATTTTTTTGCATTTATGAGGCAAAAGCTTTATTATGGATGTGTACTTTACAATACACGCCCACACAAAATACCTAAAAAAGGGTTTCGCTGTTTTGGTGAAAACTTAATTTTTTCATGACAAGGTTGATGTCTACATGGAATTGCTCACATATATTTTATGTACTTATTATTTTAAGTAAATGCTGTCTGGACTTTCTATTACAAGGGGGGGGGGAATATAGATATTTCATAATCCACAGAATACCAACCATTTCAAATAATACAAATAAAAATGACTACCAGCTTAGCCTATTACAATGATTTCTGGAGGACGTAACAATGAAAACTGGAACTGATGCTAAAAATTAATATTTGCAATCATAGCAAGAATTGAATGTTATAATGTTCACATTGAAAAGGTCTTCGTGTACAAATTGCCACAGACAGATTTTTTTTAGTGATGTATTTCAAAGTTTTTGAGCAATATACTATCTTCTGTGGTGGAACTGTTGCATATTGAAAAATAATTGCTTTCTCAACTATGTCTTCCAAATTGAATGTTTATTAAAAATTAATTAATAATTGGTAGGGGTGTTCGATTAAAAATCGATTAAAATTTATGCTCAACTTCGATTATCGAATCAAAAAATAGAATCGTCGATGCTGCCACGCCCCCTTGTCACGTTAGCTTGGCTTGCCAAGCGGGAAAAAAACATGCGTGTTGAAGTGCTTGTTAAACTGCAGACACAGGAGACCCGTCGACAGAGCTTAAATCCTTTCCTCTTTCAATGAAGTCGTCGGTGTGGAAGTATTTTGGATTTCCAGTTTGTTAGGTTAACAACTTTCGTGTTGTCGACAAAAAAAAACACAGTTTGCAAGCTCTGCTATGTACGTATTACGGTTGGGATGATAGACGATGGGCGCATCGCGATCCTCCGCCCCGCACCCGTTGCAAATCCGCTCGCGAAAAATACACACTCAGGCCCTGTTTACACTAATATGTCTTTGTTTTTAAATGGCATTTTAGAACAACAACGATCCACATCCACACTGGCGTATAGCATTTCTGAGCAGCCCTCCTTCCTCACTACCGCTGAAAACGCACATCACGTGACCACACACACTCATTTACACACAGATACAGACGCACACACATTGTAATGCGCTCGAGACAGCGGGTTAAGGCAGTCAGCGAGTCAGTAGACTGCTTCCATCTTTTACTTTCACACAAGTACTTAGTCATTTTAGCAAACACCTCAGATACTGTTGGCTGGTTTCTGTTGGTTGTGCACCTTTTTTACCGACGCCATTATAACGACACAGATCACTGCCTATTCACGAGTCCTGCAGAAAAAAAGTGATTGACAGGTGGTAATTATGTGTGTAACTTACCTTTATTTATTTACTGTTTGATTTGTTTATGGGTAAACAAAGACCATGCAAGTCAGGTAGTTTAAACGGTAGGCTACTAATAATTAATTCGTTATTAATTAATTAATTATTCATAATCGAAAATCGAATCGTGACTTTAGAATCAAAATGTAATCGAATCAAGGATTTGGAGGATCGTGACACCCTTAATAATTTGTGTGTAAACACAGCAAAGTTTACTGCACAGAGTATTTGGTCCCTCTTTAAACAAGGGCAAACAGGTTGGTAATAAGTAAAGCTGCTGTTTGTGGAGTTGCTTAATCCTCTGCTGAGATTTTGAGAGATTCAATTTCAGATTTTATTTCACCTTATTTCATCTAAGACTGTAACTATGTTTCCATCTAACTATTTTTATATGCTACTCTAGCATAAAAAACTTATGCACATAACTGAGTGGGATAAACTTTTTATCCAATAGGAAAAGATGCGCATAAACTACGGTGGTAACACTTTTACCACATAAATTTCAGTATGCGCTAGGGTTGTAACGGTATGAATTTTTCACGGTATGATAATCGTCTAAAACAATACCACGGTTTGACGGTTTCGCGGTATACGGTATGTTACAAAATAATAGAACAGTGAAGCAAATTTGACTTTTTCCAAATAATATATTTTTAGTTACTATAAACAACACCACTTACAATGAACAAATAAAAATAAGAAAATAATAAATAATGTGTCAAAGTCCAAATAAAGTCCAAATAAACATGGTGCAAATCCTCAGTAAAAAATAGATATAAATATTTACTATACTATAAATAGTTACATAACGAAACTAGATTCAATATGGAACATCCCTAGATTTTATGTGCCAGCATGGATATGGTTGTCTATGGATATGGATATGGTTGTCTGCAATGCAGACAAACAGCTGCATCTTCATTTGCGTCTTTTGAAAACAGCAAGAGCAGCAGTTCGTCTTTGCTGTGTAACTGTTTTGTCATGTTTCTGTGCTGCTGTGCATGCAAAAGTACTTAGTATGAGAATTATTTCATGCAAAACTTTTTTTTTGCGTTTTATTTAGCCGCGCATAAATGTATGCCTATCTCTCATTCCGTGTTGTTCAAAAAGCTTGGTCCACAAGCAAAAGCGAAACCTATGCTTATTGGTTGTGATATAGCGAGTTTGAACCAATCTGAGCATGGAGGAGGGACAATGCATCAATGTATCATGTCTGATTTGTCCGGAGACACAGTGACGAGCGTTTCTTTGTCAAATCAGCGTTGTCAAATGTTGATGACGTAACCGCACTGATTCCGGAGCCTCTGAAAGTCCGCGAATGTTATGTGATACAGCACTGGAAAGCTGAGATTCTCTTCTTTATGCCAATCTTTGAATTGTATGAATCGGATCAGCGGATCAAAAGTTATTAAACATTTAAGAGCAATACTTATTTTTAGCCGCGGGTGGCTGTCTCGGTCTTTAAGGGTTAAAACCGTTGATATGCAATTGTTCATGGTATGATAATCGTGCACGTTCAAATCGTGGTAAACCGTCATACCGGTATATTGTTACAACCCTAGTATGCGCATTAAAAAAGGTCATGTGATTTTGTTATAAGAGATCAGACTTGTTTTGGTCATTTCTAAAATGTCTTACTGTTTAAGTATTAGTGTTATTATATCATTAATGACCTCCAGAATCGTCTGACACCTTTACACGCCACCGCGCGTTCACTGCGTGCAGGATTGCCTTCTGAGGCGCAAGTCATTTATTAGATGAAGATAAGATGGATGCAGCTTCTCCTACAGCAGGAAATTTCGTTTTTACTGTTGATATTTGGCACCAGTTGATCAGAAAGTGACGATTTAGTTCGTTTTGATTCGTTGAATGGAAGCTTTATTCTCACATCTTTATGCGATTATCCAGTTTTGCGCTTAAAGTTCATTCCCATTATTGGATGGAAACAGCTTGTGACTGAAGTCATTTATAGTTTTGTGTTTCTCTTCTGAGTTTCTGCTTATTAACAGCAGATGTTCATCATCAGTGCTTAATCATCAACCAATTAATCCTTTAATTTTCTCATTAACTTGCGTAACATTAACTCAATTTAGAAAGGGACCAAATACTATCTAAACTGAGTACATTTTACTCTGAGGATTTAGCTGTGTATATACATCAGATAACCCCTTCCTTTCTAAAAGGGCTGCTCCTGGCCAAAATGAGCTGTTTATGCAAGTCTATGTCTGGGTTTGTCGGAGAACGTGCAGGTTCTTAATGTTGTCATTTATTTTGCTTGTATTGACGGAGCTTTAGAACTATATGGCGGTTTTCAAGGTGTGTATTGTGCTGTATTCCACAGGCAGTCGACCTACTGTGCAGTATCTGTCCTCTCTATGTGAGCTGCCTCATGCCCTCCAGTCCTACTACACCCAGGGCTACGTACTGGCCGCCTTGCATCCCATCATCCTATCTGTGGGACGGACACGCTTTCTGCCCTGCAGCCTGCTGTACCGGGCCATACTGGTTCGGCCACGATCCAGGTACATCACCCTTGCACCCTGTATTTTGCACCCTAAAAAGCCAGACCGCCCCCTTCCAAGTAAATAATTAACATTTAATGAGTCGGCATGAATATTTAATGGCAAAGGTCAGACAGTCTAGCTGGAGTGGGAGGGGTCCGAAGTCAGGTTTGGGTGCAGATGTGGTTTGCGTTTAGTTGTAACGAAGCCCTGACAACAGTGTGGTCTTTTAACAACCAATGAGAAACTGCACAGCACGAGTGGAGGAACAAGACAGGCTAGTTTCAGCTGAATAAAATATTGAAAAGTAAAGTCTAGGACAGTTGTCATGTGTTAATAGTATTGTGGCTTGGAAAACACTGAGCTGTGTAATGTCAGCTCCTGTGAATACTTTATGAGTGATGTCTTTATCCAGTGAGTATAAGCTTGAATATGATTTCAAGCGGAGACTGTGGTAGTGAAGCCTGCAAAAAGCAAGCGGTGACATTCAGGCATGCCCACATTAGTTACTAAAGTTCCTATATGCTAAGAAGTCTCCATTTGTTCAATTCTGGAAAGAAATTGCCCATTGTATTCTGGGACATGTGATTCAGGAGCTGTTTACATGACATTTTCATTTTCAAAAACAGGAAACTTTTCATGCATTTTACCTGTTTGTTTATATGACAAGTGTTTTAATGACTAAATTTGCTTAAATCTGAAAATGGGTGTCTAATGCCAAGTTCAGACTGCAGGATTTTTTAAGTATTTAAGTCACAGATGTTTTCACACTGCATGACTATCTGTGGTAGCATACCGTCGCTGCTGTGTTTACACTGCAAAATGAATTGGTGACAGGGGGTTTAACACTGCATGACTTTGAAATCTGCTTGTTAAGTCGTGACGTATCGGTATTGGTGACGTATAGAATACTGTTTCCGGGTCGAAGCCACTATTCGTTTATGAACACTTTTCAGTCTTATCACACATTAAAGTGTATTTTATATAAAATCATAGTGTACACATTGGTCTCTGGACTTGCTGCATCACAAATACCAACATTTTAACAATTTATAATTTATATTTATAATCACTTTCTGGCCATCGCATATTAGGCATGGACATATATACTGTGATTGTGATTTTTGAAAGTAACTTTGTAAACGTTTATTATTACCATTTGATGAGTCTCCCCAATCAGTTTCATAGAGCGATTGGACCCGGAAGCCCCTTCGCATGACGTCACACTTAACAAGCAGATAGGAAGAATCATTGACAAGTTTGTCTTGGTCCGCAAAATAAGTCAAAATCTGGGTTAAAATCATGCAGTCTGAACTCTGCATAAGTGGCAAGTTTTTGAAAACTCCCTCGCTGTCATGTCTGTGTGAACACTCAAAAACAAGAGCCTCTGAAAACAACAAAATGTTCATGTGTGTTTCCCGAGGTGTGTTAAACAACAAATTTAACAAAAAACTGAAGAATTGGGTTGATTTCAGCTCATCTTAAATGAGTAGTTGGAACATGCAGCAAAAATAATTTTTGAGTGTGTGTGTGTGTGTGTATATCTGTGTGTGTATGTATGTATGTATGTATGTATGTATGTATGTATGTATGTATGTATGTATGTATGTATGTATGTATGTATGTATATATATTTGTGTGTGTGTGTGTGTGTGTGTGTATATATTTTATATATATATATATATATATATATATATATATATAATTTGTGCTTTCTCAAAAGCATTCTCAAAATTAAAAGTTAGATCTAATTTCACATTTAGAAAGCATTTATATAATTTTTATTGTTTACTTTTATCTAACATTTATTTAAATGTTTTTTTGTCTTCTTGTGTAGATATTTATGCATGTATGTATGTATGCATGTGTGTACCCTGAGCTTCTGCAAACCACAAAAAATAGTTCATGTGTGTTTGTGCTCATTCTGATTCTGATGTTATTATGGTGAAGAAAACCGGTCTGAAACAAGTTTCTTTTGGTGTTGGTTATACATCAGCACTGTTTGTTAAATCATTGACTTTTGGGCCCAGACATTCTGTCAGGGTCAGAAGAGTTAAGCCTCTCAGCATTTTTACTAATGGAGGACATGTTAAGATTATGCATATTTTATTATCGCTGACAGTTGCTAATGTTTTCATGGAGAGAGTTTAAAATGTATTTGTCTTTATGGATGTTTGTGTTGTGTGGTTGCAGTAGTCACACAGTGCCGATGATTGACAGTTTGCCAGTGTTGCGAGTGGAAGAGTGGCCCCTGCCAGGAGAATCTCTGACCAGCGATACAGTGAGACTCCTCATTGACCGGGTCTGTCTCTTACTCTGAAATGCTTTTACTCTCTACTTGCTTGATATTGGATTTATTCATTATTCCTTGTTTGTTTGCTTTTGTCTAACCAGTTATTAATATTAATTTCTTCAGGCTGTGCCACGTGTTTCACTGGTCATACCAGAAAATACATGTATAAAAACTTACTTTAATAGACATACAATTTTATATTGAATGTAATTATGTAAGTTTTTTTGAGTTGCTTTTTAATAATAAATAAGACCGGAAGTCTTGACATTTATGTTATAAGGCCGTGCAACTCTTATGTGGAAAATTAAGGTGAATAGTTCATCTAAATCCAGCTTTAAGTCAGGCAATTTGACAACTGGCTTAGAGTGGAAACTCTTCATAAGTAAAATTAATTTTCAGTAAACATGAATAGTATTAAGTAGTATTCCGAACAGAAAAAGGGATTAAAAATATTACGCATATTACTATAAATATCAAACCTAATTGCATTCATTTAAAGCAAAACTGAAACTACACAAATACTGGCATTTCTCTGTGACCAATACAAAGTATTTGTTTTGCTTGTGGTATAGAAGTCCCTTATAATAATTAGTACTGGGCAAAGATCAATTGTGATTAATATTAAAATAAAAATAAATAAATAAAATTGATATATGAGTGTTTGTGTGTGTGTGTATTTATATATATATATATATATATATATATATATTAGAGCTGCACAATTAATCGTTTAAAGATCGCGATCTCTATTCAACCCCCTTGACGATCTTAATCCAGCATTTCTACGATTCTACGATTTTCTATGATTCAATCATATTTTCAAGTTCAGGGGAGAAGAAAAGGCGGCTGCACGAGTCTTTTCATTGTTTCACACACGTTGCTCAGACACCTCCAAATGATGTTGAATGAGTCACATACTGTATTTATAAGGTAAAATTCACACAAAAAAAGTCATTTTTGTCTTAATAAAATGATGTTTTTGCGATCGGGAAATCACACGTGACGTAAGCTGCTGACCGTGAGTTATCATCACAGAGAAGTGCGTGCGCGCGCTCTACTTAATGATAGACCCGCGCGCGTCTACTTTAGTAAACAGAACCTGTATATGTTGTGAGTAACAGGTAATACATTTGTAAATAATATTCAGTTTGTGGCACAGAGTGATCGTTTTGGAGCCGCGCGCGAAGTATGAACAAGCACTTAGCAGTCAGAATGAAACCGAAAGTGTGCACTTCATTTAAATGATCGTATCACATTTTAGAGTTATGATCACGACAAGCATTTGATGTTTTTTTCTTTCACAGCGAACCCACAGTTTTGCATGAAAATAAATGTTTACAATGTTAGTATAAGTATTCTAGGATATATATTGTTGAATATAATCTGATAATGGCAAATGTCTGATTTTACCAGTGAATAAAATTTTCTAATATGACAGATTGCAAGCATATATCTCAAACATAATAATTCAACATCAGAATTATTATAAGTAGAATAGAATTATTTATAGAAACCAGTAGACCTACACAAAATATTATCGAGGTTGTGCCATATGTTTGTTTTTACCATACCTTTATTTTACATCCACAGAATCGTGAGAGAATCGTGATCTTTATTTTAAGCAAAAAAATCGCGATTCTCATTTTAGCCAGAATCGTGCAGCTCTAATATATATACACACACACACACACACATAAATATATATATATATATATATATATATATATATATATATATATATATATATATATATATATATATATATATATGTATATGTTTGTGTGTGTATGTGTGTAATACAGGTGCACATAATTATGAAAAACTGTTTGTTTACATAGTTATTTAAATCTATATATAAATTGTTACATTTATATTTAATCTCTGAATATAAATAAACCTTTTTACCATATATATGCATGCATGTGTGTGTATTTTTATATATTCGTTAATCATAATATAAATCACAGATAATTTAAAAATGGGACTTCTTTCCTGGAGAGCACCTTAAAATGGAGTGTTTGGATGTACTGACTGCTGTCACTGTCTGTGTTCTCAGGTGAACAGTTATGCCAGGGGTGGCGTGAGGTTTGTGGGTTCAGTGCTCCAGCAGGCTGGAGGAGGGGGATGTAATGGTAGAGTGCCCAGTCCCAGAAGGGACTGCCGCTCCCTGCCCCGCACCCCTCCTCGCACACCACCCGGAGACACAGATCTGGAGGGCCGCAGTTACAGCCCAGGTCAGATTGTAGACTGTCTGCAGTCTCCAATGTTAAGCAATTTGTGTGATAATTTGTGGGTCAGCTCTGTTTACCTGATTGGCTACAACCACATCTCACAATGAGTTTGTCTTATTTTATCCCCCAATCAAAATCAGAAAAGAATTTCTGTAAAAATATGTATTTTTTGTTACAATAACTTCGATATAATCCTATTCAGAGTAACAAAAACTCTGTCAGTTTAATTTGGTTTAACCCTGTAATATCTCTATGGAACCGTGGTGCCTACTTGCCCTCTGGGCATCATACCAACCTCTTGGTTCTCCATGGTAACAATTTCAGGGCTACATGTGAGATTAAGATCAGTCAGAGGCTGTTAACTTCTTAACGTTGGTTCTGGATGTCACTTCTGTGCCCTTTTACATTCGACTGATGGGTTGACCTGATAAAAAGTCCACATGAAATCCAATCCCCATCAAATAAAAACAACTTTGTTGCCTTTATATAATAAATCTATAGCCTTAAGGATATCTATTAGCTAGTTAGCTCTATATCTTAAACGACAAAATTCATATTTAGAAGATCCATGCATTTAAAATGTACAGTTTTTGTGTGCGTCCGAAATCGCATACTTGCATACTATATAGAACGTTTAAAACATAATGTAAGCCGAGTAGTTTCCCAGAGATGGGTTGCGACTGGAAGGGCATCCGCTGCGTAAAAACTTGCTGGATAATGCCTAGTTCACACTAGAGGATTTTAAGCCTGATTTGAGCCCGATTTGGAAGTTAACGAGCTCGCCGACAGATCGGGCTGTGATCAGGAAGAAATCTGCGGGTGCTCGGCGCTCGCCGCTCTTTATGTGTGAACTACTGAACAACGCATCAACGAGGCTCGCTGATGCGTCGCCGACACCTCACAGACGGAAATCCAACATTCAGCATGCTAAATATTCCGGAGCAGTCGGCCGACTCAACCCCACGTGTGGTCAGATGTAGTGACGAGCTGCAGCCAATGAGAGAGCATATCAGCATGAGCTGAATGCCTGTGTGTTCAGGAGCTCAGCAGAAACATCTGTGATTGGTCAGAATGGGCATCGATGCACTCGCTTCATTCTGCGTTAGCACAGACATGAGAGTAGGCTATAATAACAGTGGAACTAGAATTCTGTAACTATTAGAATTACCATACTGCTCATTCTGACCGTTCTCATATAAAACGCCATATTGTCACAACATATTTACATTCAAAGCTATTATTGAGATATTAAAATTAAGCTTTGAATGTCTGGCATCATATTTAATGACACCATTACCCTAAAAATATAATATTTTTTTGGTAATACAGCCTATAAATATGTAGTTAAGATACTAAAACACTTAAAGGTCTTGACTTTCATTTTCACTTTCAAACAGGAGCTATTCGGCACAGAATATGCAGTTTTGAAAGATATCTGAAGTAAATTGATGTTTTTGCCATCAGAAAGTTTTGTTTCAACAAGAAAATGAATGAATGAATGAATGTAATCCGAGTAGTAGTCCGAAGTCATAGTACTCGAAAAACCATATGCGAAAAGATGACCTGCTACTTCAAGTGACATTCACAACATAATACGCAACCAATTAGAGAATAACTTAATCAAAATTGAAGCTAGGTTAGCCTAGCCGCCTCATACGCTGACCATTCAACAGCTTGGTGGTGAAATTTAAAAATAATCTAATAATAACTAATTAAACTGATTTCTCTTTTTTTTAGCCAAAAAGCCTGATAGACTATTGTTGTGCAATGAATTATAGCATTACTAGCCGACAAGGAAACACACATGGACAGTGCTTCTACATTATTCATTCACAGAAAGAACAGCCAGAAAGGGGAAATTGATGGATTTGTGCCAAATATTAGCATCATTGACCCTTAACAATGTACAGTACCTATAACTGTCAGTATGTGTGTGTGCTTCTAATACTGTTTCATTCCGAATATGCAGTCAAGTGAAAAAAATAAAATAAAATTAAATGCAAATTAAAGTATAAATAGCAGAAGTAAACAAATAGATTTTCCCTACAAGCAGACATTAATCCAACACCAAATATAAAAGCAGACACAAACCTAGTATAATGACTGAATCTCTAAACATCAGTGAGTTGTAGCTCTAACATGGACATGAGGGCTATAAATGACTGAAAAACAGCTGTGGGTGAAATATATTGATCTCAAGTGCTCAGATTGTGCTCAGTGCTCAAATTGTGATCAAATGTCGCAATTTCAAATATTCTTAGCTTGAAACAGATGGTGGAAATATGATTGCTATTAGTATGACTACTATGGCGAGGGCTTCAACGGAGCAGTGCTCATAATAGAAAAAAAAGAAAAAAAGACAGCTGTAAACATTACCTGCTTTGTATTTTTTGTAGAAAAAATAGTTTAGATCTTTTTAGGGTAAGAGGTGTGTGAGTTCTTGCCATCTATGACTTTGTCAGGAATATCAAAAACAAAACCAACTTAACTACGCTCCTTTAGCGCCCCTCACACAGCTTGTTCCATGCTGGGATTTCTCCCCTTGGGATTTAGATTTTAAAAAGAGAAAAAATTTCACCATCCTGTCCAAACTTTTAGGATACCGGGTATCAGATTTGCACAATCCATATGCACAACGCTTTGGATTGTTTTCCTCGCTCGAAAGCTTGACAGGCCTTCTGCGCGTAGCTGCGGTTGCTAAGCCACGATTGGTGTGTGGCAGTTTTCGGTTGTGGCTTAGCGAAGGGTCAATTCCATTCATAATAGTCACATTGATACTATATAGAACATACTTTTCTAGCGGTTGTATAGTAAATTCAAATGTATTACCTACACAAGTAGTGGGCAACTTCGGACGCAGCCTTACACTTTCAACAATTTTGATGACATACTGTACTTCAGCATCTCATCACATTTTCTTTCCAATCAGCTGCTTTGTTTGTAGCATCTGAAAGCATCCCGTCCCTACACTATGAATAGATGCTTATCATCAGCATTTTCAAGATGTTTTTCTGAAGGCACATTATGTGTAACTGTTGTATATGACATATATTTAAAACTACTCTGAGTGAGACAAAAAAAAAAGTCTGATTCTCAGGTGATGTGTTGAGGCTTGATTAAATTATGGGTTAATTTTCTTTTTTTTTTGTGAACTATCTCTTTATTTGTTAATGAAGAAAAATTAAACCTGCCATCAATTCTTATTTGATCTCCATAGCTCCCTCTTGTGGACATTTTTGTAGTCATTGTCGGGTTTAAAATGTATCCTACCCATTTGAAATCAACATAGATTGCTATATTTAACAACGCCTAGAAAGAGTCAGCATTACTATTAGACTCTGGCTGCCATATGCTGCTTTGTGTAGCTGAGAGATAAACAAAAAAGCTATTGGCTACTTTAAGAAAAGGGGAGGAGCTACTCTATATAACACTGCAAGCTTCTCATTTTCTATTGCCTGACTTAATGTTATTACATGTTTTATTATTATTCAGCTCTACATTGGTGATAGATAAATATATGACGATTGTTTTCAGATCTGAGATTGTTGGTGCTGTTCCACTCTTGGGCTCCGGGTTGTGCCCCGCTGGACTCGTTGGCCTGCTGTTACCACCAGGGTGCCCTGTCCATGCGCGTTTCCAGGAAAGGTCAAGTTGTAAGTGCTCTGGAAGCAGATTGGCTGGAACTGACCGCAGCTTATTACCGCAAGGGCTGGTCATTGGTTGATTCCTTTGTATACTGGGATACCCCTAAAGGTACTTCATGCACACATACAGTAGTCACCATTTGAAGTGGATCATCACCATTCATCAAAGTTGTTGAACAGCACCCATAGGGCAATTTAGAAAAACATTTTTAATTCATTTTGAATGTTGACTACCGTATATAATTTTGATTTCTTTATTTGTTTGTCATTTGAGCATGGTTGTTTGTCGTTTTTGTGTATTTTCTTTAGCTCTTCCCAAGAGATTAAAATGATTGCTCAAGAGGATAAGTCATTTCCATTCTCAGAAGTTGCACTTTTCATCTTCTTCCTTTTAAAGCCCCAGCATCTCTCTATCTTTAACCAAAGCCATGTTTTCTTTCTCCTGTCTCCCACTAGAACTAAATTTAGAGCTCACGTCCCTAACCTCACGACCGTGCTTCCTGTTTCGCACCAGACTAATAGGATCTAAATCAAGTGTGCGTGTGTGCGCGCTAAAGACATCTGGAGCTAGTGAATATTGAACTTGAGAAACGGCTTACAAAGTAGCTCTCGCTCCCCCTTTCTCTTTGTGTCATATGTATATCATTTATGTACATGCGTAAATCTCTTGTGTGTATGTGTATGAGTCAAATATGTTAAGTCTCATTTTGGCGTCTGCATCTTATTTAAATTTACAAGGGTAATTGCATACTAAATTGTTTCCAAAACAATTTATATGCTTATTCTGACCTGTATTGTACTTAAGAATATAACAATAATAAAAAAATTAGTGATGATAAATAAGTAATATCACACTCGTAGCAGTGCAATATGGCTGTAAATCAGCACTGGTTGGTGGCCTCGTGCCTTAGTGTCCCACCAGTGATCATATACAGCTATATTTCACTGCTACGAGTGTGATATTCCTTACATATAACAGTTCGACGGCACAATCGTGTATATAAAAATGAAAATGAAACACTGAGTCTAAAACCCCTTTTGTATAAGGAAATACTTTCTTCCGCCACTCATTTACATCTGTAGCTGATGTCAAAACAGCACAAGCCGTTACTAATTCACCAACCTCACTTTAGAGCTAATATTTGAACGATTCTCTATTTTAAAATTATTGGGCTGAACGTGACATGAATTCCCATCAGTCTACAGAGATATCTCCTTACAGTATTACAATCTACATTATTTCTCTGTTGCTTTTGGGATATCACATTAAGTAACCCCGAAAAAGCAGTGTAACCAGATTGCTGTTGTGTTTGCGATAAGGAAAATATTAAACACATGCGGGCATTTCTTCTTTCTTTCTGCCAACACAATACACATTCCTGATATAAGAGTCCCATCTCGCACTCAAAATATTACAATTATATGGTATAAATACAGCACTACAACCTACAAAAGAGAGATTGATGTAGAATATCACTTACCAGTATAATAAGGATTTGATCAGCTGTAGTTAGAAATTATGCTGTTTTAATCCTCTAAGGGCTTTTTATGCTGTCCTGTCACTATCTTGTGGATAGACAACGTCAACTGTCTTTGGTCAGCTCAGTATGGCAGGCTAATGACCGCCGACTTGCTGTCTCTCAGAAAATATAAATATTTTAAAATAGGCACTAAATAAACTGCATGGTTGCAATCTAAACAACCACATTCTCAACCACAAAAAAATCTTCAAAAGTGCATTGTTGTCCAACAACAGCAATATTTGTTGAACTGTAGAGTGTCCTCTGCTTGTTGTTGTATGTGGGCGGAGTAATGCACAAGGGTAAAGGGTTAAGAGGCTGGACCAGAGCTGTTATTGCAGAATATTACACTGCTATCAGCCAATCAGATTCAGGAACCAGACAGAACTGTTGTATAAATATTTATATACATTTCAATTATTCAAAAATAGATATTTCAAATTATAGTTAGTCATTTTAGTGAGTGTCCTCTGTAAATCATGATGGATTCAATCACAAATGTATTAGTGCTTACTTTTTTCTCATAGAATCAGCCTCCATTTAACAGAAAAACATGTAAAAAGCTCAAACTTGTTTTGATGCTCAATAATATGGAGCTTATAATATGCCAAAACGATCTGAACTTGAATTGTGTTAATTAGAATTATTAACAATTGTAATTTAATACATCTGCTTTTTTATATGCTGTCAAAATCGTCTACCCTTCCCTGTTGATCACCCCTGACCTTTTTTCTGCTGAATCTGAATTTCACAATCTAAATGTCTGGTTTTGAATTTTTAAATATTGAATTTGATGTTTTGAATTTCTTCATCTTGAAAATTTTAAACTGTATTTTTACAAACCCAATATCTGCAGTCTATAGCTGCTTCCCAAATGGCACACTATACACTATGCACTCATGCACTATGTACTTATGCACTTACACACTCAACAGGATAGTATATGTTTGTAGTGTCGTCCCAAATGGCACACTAATGGTTTTTACTAAGAGGAAATTCAAACCGTTTCCTTAATGACGTTTGACGAATGCAAAATCAGTGAAATAACCGACCGAATTATCAAATAATACCTGCCGTGAGTATTGCCGCATTCACCATTGGGAGGCGCTGTAGTCTCTCTCGTAGGAGAATTTTGCTTTCACCATCCAAAATAAATAAAGTTATCCAACATGTGTGTCCGATAGCTTCGCCCCTTCCACTACGTAAGCAAACCTGTGGTCGTTGAGTGCGTGAAGTGTCCATTATTACACACTTCATTTTACCAGCTAAATAAGTGCATCATCCGGGTAATTAAAGTACACTTATAATTTTTTTTGAGTTTTCAGTGTGAAGTTATGAAATTCAAATTAAGAAATTCAAACCCTTTTTACAGCATATAAAAATTCAGATGTATTAAAATACAATTATTGACAATTCAGGTGAATACAATTCAAATTCAGATTGTTTTGGCATATTATTAGCTCCATACAAAAAGCACTTTGTTTTTGACACAACATGCATGTTAGAGTGCATACATGTACATAAAGATGTATTAATTACAATTCAATAGCAAAAACACTAAGTACTGAGATCCAAAAATATTCTGTTAAATCAGGACTCGCTCTATAATCTGTTTTTTACCTTCCATTGTCCGCTCACACATGTTGGCGCTCATGGATTTGTCTTGCTGTCATAAAAGTAGTTCAGTTTCATTATCTTTTGTAGGTCATTGACACACTTCCAGCGCTGAGTAAATGAGACCTACAAAATCATTGCTCTGAGGTTCAGAATAAAATCACCTGCGGATTAAAAGCAGCCACTTTAGATCCAAGTAACTATGCCAAACGAATAACTCTACTATTTGTTTTAAAGATTAGACCTTTATTAAAGTAATAATCTCCCAAAAAAAATTACAATCAACCAATATTTACTTCCTCTCTCCATTTTAACAACCTCTTTGAGTTTCTTTCTTCTGTTAAACACAAAAAGACACAGATTAACTACTGACTTCATTACTAGTAATGGCTCCTGTTTGAACATTCTTCAAAATATCCTCATTCATGTTCAACAAAGAAAAGAATCCCATTAACGAACGTAATTGTCTTTTTTTTGTCTGTGTGTGTGGGTACTGTCTCTTTAAATGAATATCTAGGTCATACACATGCACCTATTATGCAAAAATCCAGCAATGAGCTGTGGCTTTATGAGTTCTTATCACCTAATCTAGATGTTATATTGTTGTTTTGGCAGGAGAGCCAGTGCCCAGGTCTCTAGAGGGTCTGTTTGTCTATGAAGAGAAAAGCACAGCGCCACCTGCCAATGACACTATTGTAGTGGAACAGTGGACTGTTATTGAGGTGTGATTGAATGTGTGGAAGCTGTCATTATCTAGCATGGTGTTAAACTCATTTTGATGATGTCGCTAATGGGTTTGTGTTTTAGGATTCAAATGTGAAGACAGACTATGGGCCTCTGCTGCACACGTTAGCAGAGTTTGGCTGGCTGCTCACCTGTGTTTTGCCCACCCCGATTATTCGCCATGACAGGTGCGATCCTCACAGCTGTTTAATCAAGTTTATTTTACAATCTGTTATTATATGGCTAGCTGAGTGTTTTTTTTTTATTCTGTTTCTGCAGTGAAGGGAATTTGGCCACTAAGCAAGTGGTTTTCCTGCAAAGACCAGTCAAGGGTCATCCGGTACCACAGCACAGCCAGGTATCAGTTCCCCAGTGTTAGTTAAATCAGTTGTATTAGGAACATTACTACAATTTGAACTAATGGCAAAAACAATATATAAAACCTAAAATCCTTTTCAAAATATTGCCTCCTACATGTATGGTTGAAGGCAAAATTATTAGCCCACGAATGTACGACATCCACCAGTTTGTCATGATCTTGTGACCTACCCACGTCAGTTGCGTTGCTTCATTTTAATTCATTAATTCTGTCACAAGGCCTCATCATGCGCCGGAAGTAGTAGGTCATCTAGGTACTTGTTTTTCAAATTCTATGAATTTGGACATACTACTTGGCTCACATACTGATTGTGGCGTACTATATAATATGGAAGTATGTGATTTTGGACGCAGCCAATGTGTATTTTACTCATTATTTTTCAAAATGCTAGTATTCAGCTTAAAGTGCAATTTAACTGGGTTAACTAGGCAAGTTGAGCTAGTAATATTGACCTTCAAATTTATTATTTTTTTATTATTTAAAAACTGCTTTTGTTCTGGGCTGCATGGTGGCGCAGTTGGTAGCACATTCGCCTCACAGCAAGAATGTCGCTGGTTCAAGCCTCGGCTGGGTCAGTTCTGTGTGGATGTTCTCTCTTTGGTGGCGTGGGTTTCCCCTGGGTGCTCCTGTTTCGGTCCAAAGACATTTGGAATAGGTGAATTGGGTAAGCTAAATTGTCCATAGTGTGTGAATGAGTGTGTAGTGATGTTTCCCAGTGATGGGTTGCAGCTGGAAGGGCATCCGCTGTGTAAAACATGCTAGATAAGTTGGCAGTTCATTCCACTGTGGCGACGCCAGGTTAATAAAGGGACTAAGCCAAAAAGAAAATGAATGAATGAATGCTTTGGTTCTTGCCAAATAAAAGACTTTTAGATTAGTGTTTCTCAACCACGTTCCTAGAGGACCACCAGCTCTCCACAATTTCAATGTCTCCTTAACCAAACACACCTGATTCAGATCATGAGCTCATTATTTGAGACCGAAAGAGCTGTAACGTGTGTGAGAGACAAAGCAGACATCCAAAACCTGAAGTGTAGGTGGTCCTCCAGGAATGTGGTTGAGAGACACTAGAAGAAAAATAATAGGATAATCGTTTGAATTTACTTTTCCTGTTGAGTAAAAAAAAAACTATTCCAAGTATATCTGTAATAATATATCAATTGTATTAAAATAAAACTGGTTGTCAAGGCATCATTTCTAATTATAATTGTAAAGCAAACCTTTATATTTTGCTGTAAATGGTTAATTTCAAGTAACAAAGGATTTAATAGATTTTGTTACCCAAGCCCAGGGATGGGAAAACTTGATTCTCCAGGGCCGGTGTCTCTGCAGACTTTTGTTCCAACACTAATCAAACACACCTGAAAATGCTAATCAATGTCTTCAAGATCACTAAAAAGACTACAAGCAGGTTTGTTTGATTAGGGTTGGAGCAAAACTATGCAGGACACTGGTCCTCCAGGATCAACTTTGTCCCTCCCTGCCCTAGCCTCAAACAAGCAAAGTTGGAATTTTTTATGCAGAATAAAACTTTTGGGGTGAGCTATCTCTTTAAGAGCATTTTGCCATTGTTTATTCACCCTTCTCATGTTTAGAACCTAAATAAGATATTCTGAAAGATTCTGGTGGCTGGCACCCATTGACTTCCATAGTAATCTTTTTTCCTACTATGAAAGTTAATGGATGCAATATCTTTTTTGTTTGTTTTAAAACTACATAAGGAAGAACAAAGGATGAGGTCATTTCTAACTACCCCTTGAACGGAGAATGTGACTTCTTGTAACATGCACTATTGTCAGACTTTTTTGTCATTTTTAACATTCATGTTGTTTTGTTTTTTTGCTGAAGGGTTCGACACGGAGAGAGGTGTCCAGTCGCTCTGTGAGCGGAGGAGTGGACGAGGGGCACGCTGAGCTCTCATCTCCATGCTCAGGCGGGATCGGTGGCTTCCCTGTGTTTGGAGGAGGCTTTCCCAGCTCTCTCTCCCATCTGGATGAGGGAGGATATGAGCCGGACGATGGGGCAGCAGAGGTCACCTGTATGTGAACTCAAAAACTTGCCGTTTAAAGTTCTGAAGCAATGAGCATTGCCCTCCGATTTTCACCAGAACAGAGATTTTGCGTTCTTATATTACAGACAGACTTAGCACTTTTAACTTTTTGTAAATTATTTTTTAACAAGCCATAATGTATCCTAGAGAACCCCTATTTTTACCGAAAAGCACAATGCGTGTGCAATCGTTCCTGTTTTCAATCAAAATTATCACTGAAAGTCACTGTTATGAGCAAATCCTTTACCCCCCTCCTTATCACGGCGAGTATCCTTCCTCACAGTTTTTGCTGTTCTTTTTCCTGTTCCTTTTTTTTACTTCAAACCAGCTGACAAATCAGTTGTTTGTTTAAACACCTGCGATGGTTCAGCGTGACCAACTCAGGAACTGAGTGTCCAAACAGACTCCTTGTGGGACGCACATTTGTTTGGTGCGCAGTTTTGGAAAATATTTACCTTTTATGCAGAACTTTCCAAGCCTTGGGTGCCAAAACGTCATCTTGGGAAGCGAAGGGGAATTCTTTCTGCTTTGTATGTGTTTGAGGGAAATGCATGTACTGTAAACCTACAAGCTGGACCTCATCAACTAGCCTGCAAACACTGAATTTGACAGTAGTTTGGTTTATCTGATCTGTGCCGTTGGCTCAGTTGGTGCTAAATTTGTTTGTTAACCTCCTGGGAATTTCTTCACACACACTATCTTAAAGGGAAAGGTTTGCATATTGAGAGACACTTCACAAGGGGACAATGAGCAGGGTACTTTCTTTCTTTAAATGACTATAGTTCTCCCCAAATTAAGTGGTAAGGTTGAATAATGCGGTTGGATTTTTACAATTTATTTGTTTGTAAGCTGTAGAATTTTAACCTGAGGTAAGTGTTATACGGCTGATGTTGCCTTGACAATGTTTATCCCTCCTTGAGGAATGGCAGATTAGCATAAGCACATTTTTAGCTTACGAAGCTGCTGTAAATGTTTAAAGTCATTAAGCGATAAAGTTCTTCACATTTATCATTATATTCTAATTTGCCAGATCTGATCAGTGTTATTTACCAGCTTTAGTATTCGTACATGTTCAGACAGTGTTTTGTACTATTTTATTAAACGGGTATTGACCTCATATTAAATCGAATGGCCTTTTGTGTTGTCACTATGTCATAAAATGTTAATGCAAAAGCATTGGCTAGGTACAAGTCTTTTATTAACAATTGACATAATGAAAATACCATACATTTTAGTTTATTTTAAAAAAAGGACAAAGTGGGCCGGATGAGAGCCCTCCACCCATGTAATAACTTAAAAACGAGGGAAAAGACAGGGTGAATATCACCAGACTCGCTTATAGTCGAGAGAGGGGGGAAAAAGAAAGGAAGTTCTTATTGGTTAAGCAGGATTTACAATGGAGATGAGCTGAGATATGTACAAGTAGCTGTTGATGTTATGTTGGAATTGATTGTTACAGCTGAACGATGGAATTCGAATCAAACAAAACATTTGTGAGTGGAAAAGTAACGACTGACGTTATTGGCCTCTGCTGTCTGGATGCTTGAGGCTTCAAATGCACAAGACGCAGCTCAGGCATCGCTTTCGCCAGCGGTGGCACTCTGGACTTCCTCCTCCAGGATGGGCACAATGAGGTTGTCCTTAGACATGAGGTTGTACTTCATCACGAAACGGGTGAAGCGATGACACAAAAAGGTCTCATTCTGTGGGAAAGAGATAATAATCTTCAGAAATCTGATGCGGATTTGACTGTCGTCCTTAGAAAATGGTCTCCAAGATGCCTCCTACTGACCACTGCCGGAAATCCCGTTTCAATAAACACCAACAGCTTTGTCATAAGAACAATGAAGAAAGATCATCCTTAACTTTAAAATAATGGCTAAAGACGAACACTTCACAGGAATTTGCCTGAGGTAGTTCACAACCTCATAGTTGCTCTATAACAGGGGTGCTCAGTCCTGTTCCTGGAGATCCACCTTCCTGTAGATTTCAGTTGCTACCCATTTCAAACACACCTGCCTGTAATTACCAAGTGCTGTTCAGGTCCTAATTAATTGGTTCAGGTGTGTTTGATCAGGGTGAGAGCTGTGTTTTGCAGGAAGGTAGACCTCCAGGAACAGGATTGAGCAGCCCTGCTCTATAACATACTGGGAAACATGAGTCTAAACTGTTGGCTCCAATAACGTCATTGCCAACATGTACTTTTGGGAGACTCAAGTTCAAGTGCCAACTCTCAGTATATTCAATACTCTGAAATGTATGTACTTATGATTTACATATACACACACACAGCTTCCTTACCTCATACTTGTCAAAAATCTGGCGATGGTGAAAGTACGCATGGGAGAAGATCCTATAGATGCGACGGCAAACAGAGCCCAGTTTGGCCACAGATGATTCCTTAATGCTGACGCTATACAGAAAGCAATGAGAGGGTCAGAAGCTATACAATAAAAACCCCTACAGACTGCTAACAGCTAAGGATTTACATATTAGCATAACTCATGAAGATCGTCTTCCTGCATCGCTTAAATGCAAGCATTTCCTGGAGTTAGTCAGGTCAGGTTTATTTATATGTACATTGTCAAGAGGATTTTGAAAATTGTGGAGCTGTGCAATGATAGATTTGCTCTTCAGTGTTCAGTGTCAGCAGTGAAAACTAACCACCCTGAACTGAACAGAACTGAACTTTAACTCTGAAAACTGGACTGACAGTTTTAATTTAAATCTACAAGAACTTTTATGTTAAGCTGCTTTGACACATCTACAATGTACAATCTACATTGTAAAAGCGCTATAGAAATAAAAGATGGATTGATTTCAGGAGGATGTATCGATATTGCGAGCACAACACTACAATGTAGAGCTTATTTTGCACGTTTTTGTTCAATTTATAACAAATTGGTGGAGCAACAAGTTTACAATTTTTTTTTACAAGTTTACAAAAGCAACAATTAAGCATGTATACAGATAAATCTGGATGTTTTAGTAGCAGATGAACGTTGCAATTACAGAATCTTTGGTGCTTTATAATTCAGTACAACGCATGTTCAACTGCTAAATTCAAATGTGTTTCCCACTTTGCAATAATTTAATAAATGTAATAATTTATTATTATTATCATTATTTTTGTTTATTATTTATTTTAGGCTTCAGACATTTAAATGCACAAGAATTGGGCGGGGAAAGTAAAGTCAATAAATGTGGTGCCAACTCTATTTTAAATACATGAATTTACATGTTACATAATCAACAGCTCTAAATCTCTGCTCTGTGTAAATTAACTTTAAAAATCAGCTAACGTTAAAAATCAGTTTAAACCACATACTTCTAATTACACAAGAACCGGATGTTCTGGTATTTCACAATCTAATTGTGATGTGATGTCACGTGACAAGTTCAACACTTTACCACAGTAAAAGGTAAGTGTACTTCATTTTAAAACAACAGTTGCCCTTTGAAAACTTGTGTATTTAACTTGTGTATAAAAGCCTTTATAAAAATGTAAGGTTTAAAAGAATGAGCTCTGATTATAAAAACTTTTGATGCCTAATCTGTATATGATGATGGGCATCACTGCTGAGGTTGAATGACACGCGCACACAGATATTTTAGTTATATGTTGCTCATCCTTAAGCAAAAAATTAAACCAAGTTTTAAAATTCATTAGGGACTTTTGGGAGTGTTCGAGCGGTTTGACACTGAACTCTGCAGGTAGACAAATCTCCAGGAGGAACACCGAGCACCCCTGCTTTACAAGATTAGATGTTCAATAACTTACCGGCTGGGAAAATACTTGTTGCTGTTGAGAAGACATGCAGCTCCATCCAGGGTGTGCCTTGTGTAATCAATGGCAGGGCACTGTGATCCAACAAACAAATCAACATTAGATTTCTATGGTTCAGTATTTAAAGAAATTCCAAGGTGCAGCAATTGGTCAATAATAATCAACAACGGCTTTTTACAACAACTCAATTGTTTGGTAATTTCATTCTGTGCATAAAAAAACGTACTGAAAATGACTATCTACATCTCATTACTTACATAGAGATAATAAAATTGACCAAGCACAACAAAGTCATTACAAATGTGCTTTTACTTTCAATCAAACTTTTGAGTCAAATGACACTGACCTCTTTGGGAGTCTTGTGGGCAGCACACAGAAAGATCCACTGCTCAGTGGCCGTCATCTGGGTACATGTGTCTGGATGACACTCATTCTATGGGGCAAAAGTATCACATTTATTACATTCATTTAGGATCATATAATCAAACATCACTGTCTAAATAAAAATGTTAAAAACATTTGAACATTAAAACAACTAAATCTGTTATCGAGCAATTCCAGCATTATAGATGTGACATTTGCAGATTTTAATCAGAAAAATATCAACCTCTAAACTTTTTTTTTATATTTTAAATGAGAGAAAATAAACATGCGTTATGGATGTGTCCAAAAAGTCTGCGTTTGCAGTGCACAAAATACTTTGTAGAAATTCTGTGAATTTAACTGCACTACTCACAATAAACAATGCTAAACAGATTCGAGTCCGCTCACTATAAAACAAAAATGATGGATCTTATTTCATTAAACAATTTTTTCGCATTTATAAGGCAAAAGCTTCATTATGATTTGACATCTCTGTTATGAATGCTACACACATGTAAAATTGCCACTTGTGTGACTTTGGTAAATCAAATTTAATAGTTTGAAAACACTGACAGACATTTTTGAATATTTCAGTAGAATTGTAGAACACAATACCTACATAAACAACTTAGAAAATGTTTCGCTATTTAAGTGAAAACTTTATTTTTTAAGGCAAAATTCACATTTGCATGGAATTGCTCTCTCTATCATGATTTGATTTGTTTGTGAAATACCAGTGGTACATAACGCAAGAATGATAATTACCTGCAGTTTAACTGCCAAGCCATTGAGCTCCAAACAGAACTGTCTATATAGACAAAAAAACACAATATTAAAATGTATTTAAGTAATTAAAAATGCACATACTACTTTAGACAGATTAGATCAAAGACAACATCTAATATTGGTGTCTGCATCAAATATATATTCAAAAGTGACTGGGCTGCATTCACAAAAAGCTCATTAAATGTAGCTAGAGCTAAAGCTTGTTTCAAATAATAAATCATCAAAATATGCATTAGGAATTACTTACTGAATAAAGAGTAAAATCTAGTGGGTCTTAAAGATAATGTCAAACTATAAAGATTTAATATTGCAACTAAAGTATTTCGAGTCATTTAATATGTTATCTACCATTTCTTGTTTTATTGGAAGAAGAACATAACCACTGTACCAAATAACAAGGTTCATAGTAGCTGAAGACACCTGATATAAAGTGGGTTCTATTATTATTCCAAAACATAGAGAATCACAAAAGTATACTGAGATGCATCATTACACTGAAGGATCAAATGAAGGACCCTTGTTGACATTCAGACTAATAATATACCTGAGATGTTCATATTTCCACACCCCCTCATCCTGTCCCTCTGGAGGCTCCATAATCTTCTCTATGTTGGAACAATCTGAGCGAATGTTCTGCTGAATGTACTGACAAGAAAATTGAAAACATGACTATCAGTTAAACACAATTTTAAATAACAAACCAACTGAACCATATAACGATCTTTCGTCGTACATATAAGTGATGTTTCTAATTTTTTTAGGGTTTTTTAAAGTTTTTTTTCTGACAAGTGTCATTTTTAGTTGACCACATTTAATAAAGCTTAAAAGTCTGTTGACTATTCAGTTAATAATCAACTGAAACGTTTGTCATGCTGCATAGAACAAAAAAAACTTTTAAATTGTCTCATAATTAAAATGACTTCATGATAAACTTCAAAAAATATTTTTTTTCTATTAAATAGACACAAAAGAATGTCAACTCTTGAACACAACTAATTTCATGCCACCTAGTTTCTTGATTATTATATTCTCAATAATAATAACACACTATCATGAAAGGTTTAAAGCTCAAAAGCTTTCTAAAAATCCTGTTTATCCTAATTGATTATTTTAATGTATTAGTATTAAAACAACAAAAAGACAAAATACTTTTAATCAGCAAAGAGATATAGTCAAAATCCATGATGATTTATTCAAACAAAACAGTGTAAACAACCATGTAAAGGAAAACAAGCTAGCTGAATGTCGCTTTCAGTTAAGCAAACTATCTAAGCATCAGAGTTAAGACTTTGTCATCAGTACAAAGAATATCAGGGTCATTGAAAGTGATTAAACCCTTCTCAAAACCTTCAAAGAAGTAAAAGCTCTCACTTGTTGCACAGCCAAGGTGCTGTCCATTTCTTCAAAAGACTCATCAGACCAGTTATAGAAGTCCTACAACACCCAAAAACAAGATTGTAAACAAGTCAGTAAAATCAACACTAGAATAATTCTAAAAAAACTGATGTCAACAATACATACATGATCAAAATATCCTTCACTTGACTTAAATTTTGCCCGCAGTTAGATTACATTAACACATTCCTTATGTTGCAATCATAGTTTTAATGCACAGTAAAACTATAGTAAATCGTCCCAAACGTAATGACAATTTCTTGACAAATAATTGAGAAAAAGTACCTAGGGGGTTACCTAGGAGTACCTACTTAATGCTGCAGGACACTGTCAATGAACTTTGTTGTGTTTTAAACATAATAATTTAATGTAAATACATATTCAGCAATGTTCATCCGGGTATTTGTAGACGGCTGCTAGCTGACTGCTGTTCGCCAAATAACTAGATCATAAAACCTCTAATATCAGGCCCCTCTTGTCTCTTATTTCACTCTATATACAAGTACTTTTGGAAAAGCAAGCAAATCATATTACGGACAAATATTTAACAAAATACACAGTTAAAACCCCTTCTTTAAGGATCATTAGTTTTCTAGGCTAACTGTTAGCTTAGCTCTTTAGCATATCTGCGGCTTCCGCTGGCAGAAGAACAAATTGTTTTTTACGCTAATAGTACATTAGGATGTGCTCCACGAACAGGTCTGAGTTTGAAAGAGAGCGTCAACTTGTTATAAGCTGTTCATTTTACCTTCGCCTTGGTGCCTGGTCTATTCCTCCTCAGAACAGCTGTGCCCTCCGCCATGACCATCTCGACAGATTTAGAGTTTGATTGACAGCGCGCCCCCAATGGACGAGCCCGGCTACTACAGGAGCAGCTCGGATACAGTGAAACTCAAAATATTAAACGGTGAAGATGCATTTATGATTTTATTCCATCTTACATCGAGTGTTATCTATTTTCCAGATCCTTTTTCCTCTAGATTCTAGTTAATAAGAAGTCCATTATGCAGTCAGATGCATAAATATAAGCATCTGACAGAGCAGTTTGCCTAGCTAGTTTGCATGAGATAATCCGTGTTTTCATTCTTTTTTTATGCAGCTAATTTAATAACATTTTATGTCTGACATAATAGAAAAATATATAAAAATAGGTGACTAACTTAACATAAGCCCATATGGACTTATGAAACTGGCCCCTATGGGGAAACCCCAGTTGGCATCTCATTCAGCCTTCACTTATTCCATGTTGCCAATTTTAAGCCATCATGGCTAATGGAGTTCTGCTGGGATTACAAACCATTGTTTTTCTTTTTAAATGACTTGAAGTTCTTCTTGTACAAATACAATCACTTGTGTCAATTCATATTTCTGATTTTGGTTTCCTTTTCTTTAATAAAAATAACACAGCTCAGCAATTATAGTAGGCCAGTTTTTTTATTCTATTCATATATTCTATTCAAATATTGGGGATACTTGTGTTTTTTTGGTTCTTGACAGTCCCTTATTCTTTTTATTATTCAGATTTTTTTTAAATATATGACTTTTATGGGTATATTTTACTCTTTATATCTTATATAGGTTCTTAAGTAATAACCAATATAATAAATATAGTTAAATATACGCATAAGCAAGAATATTGTATTTCAGAATAATCAAGAAATAAGGGACTCAAGCACTAAAACTACACTAGTTTGACAATAAATAGTCATTCAATGCTAGCTGATATTAAAAAAAAACTTTTTAAAACTAACAAAATCCAAGTTATAAGTCATTGTTCACTCTCATAAGAACAAAAACATTAACTTAAACATTTGGAAAACAGAGAAATGAAAGTGGATTGTAACGGACTTTTACATTTTTGGGGGTGAACTCTCTAATTAAAATGTATTGTTTACAGTGCAGGTTAAAGCAAAAAAAAGGAAGGGTAATGAGCAGTTGTCAATGTAAATCAAGTCTTATTTGGGTTCTTTACCATTTATTTTGAGCACTGTGGTGGTATCCTGCTAAGTTTTAAGCAGATTACCACAAGTATTACAGGATTTAGAAACAGGTGATTACATATAAGGCAATAGTAAGAATAATCAGATGGTGTTGTTTTCTGTATGCAAATCTAAGCTTGATTGTGATTTGTAATCTACTATATTGAATAGTTTTTCTTTTTTTTTTTAATCGATAAACATGTAGGAGATCGGTGTCTTGAAATTCTGCAGTTAGAAAAATAATCGAATGTTATCGTTAAATGGCCAATGGCACCATCTGGTGATGACTTTGTGAACAAAATTTGGGACTTGTAAAAGCAAGCAGTAAATGTTGTCATGCACTTCACATTTAAGACTCTCAAATTGTAAACCTGCCTTTGTGATCTTCTTAAAATTAAAATAACATAGAACTGATTTCAGGATCAGCTAATAATAAAGCTTTAAAAACTGTCAAAATCTGCTCTGCTCTTAAGATCTTTGTGTAAGCAATTTTTAGTAACCCTTGTAAATGCAAAAAAAACTTATTTTTCTTTAATTTTATGATGCTATTGTTATTTCCATTGCTTCCTGTAGTACTGTACTTTTTGTCACTGTCATTTTTTGATTGATATTGTATTTTGTGTACTGTTATGCATGTTCCTGTATTCAGCTACAGAAAAGATGCCAGTCAGTGACAATCTGACCACTGATTCTAAATCTGTCCAAATAAGAAGAAGCCGTCTTCAGAATATTTCCAAAAATTTAATGAATAAAAATGTAGTCAGCTGAAAAACATCAATGCGAGGAGTTATAGGAATTGGATTACTTTCAGGAGGCACTATCTAATTATTTTAGTTAACTTCTGATCACATCCAACATAGAATTCAAAATCATATAATTTAAAGAAAACTAATAAATTAAAAAAATAACCTTTTTTACCACTAGAACAAGCAGTTCTTTTGTTACTTAAAAAAATCCATCTCATTCCATTTTAAAAAGTTAAAGAAGAGTGATTCATAATCTACCAAAATTAAAAACAATTTTCATGTATATGAACTATAAAGTCTTGGCAATGCTTCAATTGTTAAGATGTATATCACTTCCCAGTTTATACAGTTGGTATACGTTTCAGCGGTCACATGTTCAATTTCAAAACTGTTAACCTCAAAAAGTGAGATGAAACATCAAGATCACTTTATTTTAACAAAACATGATCATACTTATTTACAATCAAATGACATAGAAAAATGAAAACAAACATGGAACAATCTTTCATTCTATGCACTTTAGAATGACACAGATGGCTGGACAAGCTGACTTCAATCTACGTATTTGCCAAGAATATCTGCATCCCGGAAAAGGAAATAGTCCTACAAAAGAAAATAAAAGAAGAATAGCAGTTTATAAATCAAACAATCATTATAAAATAGATTACATTTCAATTTCGTTATTTTGGATGCAAATACATTTGGTTTCTGTAAGAAAAAAAAAAAAAAAACTCAAACCTCAGAAATCAGGGGTGCTTAAAAAGGTTTCACATGAAGGACCAAAAAGCAAATATTCTTGATAGCCATGGGCCAAAGGTAAACAAACCAAACTATTTTACATTCAAGTTGCCATGGGTCATTTTCTAATTTATTTCATAATATTTCAAAATAAATAGAAAATATTACTTAATTGTATTAACTAATGCAGTATAACTTTTAAAATGATAACATATAGCAATAAAAACAAACAATTACATTTATAACACAGTGGAGTACAATGCTGAATACACAGGTTAATTTGCTCATCAAAGTCTCTGCATTGTCGAGTGCCAGTATTTAATTAAAATCTGATTAATTTGCATCATTTAATTTCAGTTAGCTTTTAACAATAAAACAAACAAAGGGTTAAATTAAATTTTAATTGACAATCTCTAAATCATCCCCATCATTCTCCCTCTTTTCTCAGATGGGATGAGGGGCCAAAACAAAGGTTAGTATGGGCCAACTTTGGCCCATGGGCCCCTAGTTTGGGCATCTCTGTTCTAAATGGATAAAAAGTAAGAGTCAATAAACGGCAAATGTTCAAACCTTATCTTCAAGCATAACTTTAGTTCCTCCGTACTCCGGCAACAAAACTTTATCCCCAACTTTGACACAGACAGGTATTACTTTCCCATCCTGAAAAACAGAAATAATTAAAACTCTGATTTCACACACTGTAATGAAAAATGTAAATAAAATTTTAAATAAATAAAAATTACCTTGTTTGTGGATCCTGGACCCACTGCTACCACGGTAGCCTGCAGCACTTTGGCTTGAGACTTTTCTGGAATCATGATGCCTCCTCTTGACACGGTCTCTGCAGCGAGCCGCTCTACCAACACACGGTCAAACATGGGGAGAAACTTCCGGAAAGCCTGCTAGAAAGGAAAAAAAAATCATGCTTAGTGCAGTGGAGAAATAGTCGATACAGTTTCGCAACACTTGAAAAGGGAAAAAAACACACACAAGGGGGCGTCACACAAAAAACCCCAACAGTTTTTATCAGTAACCATTGACTTTCATGGTAGAAATAACCAAAGGTTACAGGTTTTCAGCATTTTTCTAAATAACTTATTTTCTGTTCAACAAAAGACAAACTGAGAGTTAAAGGTAAATATAACAGAATTTTCTAGAGTTTTTTCGTGAACTATCCCTTTAGATTTGTCTTCATTTTCGTCTGCGGCTTTTGCTAAATGATTATTCCATGACCAAAAGTGTTCATTCATGATTTTAAAATAAACTGGAGTCCCATAATAAAGAACAACTGATTTTTGATTTCAGTTGTAACTAAATCTTTGGTTTGCATTCTTTCAAAGATAAGTTTTAGGCTGACTCCAGAAAAGTGCTGACCATCAAACACTCTGTATCATACCGTTACAAAGACAACAGCTGCTGCTTTTCTGAGAACAGATGTGTGTGACCTTGGGAGAAGGTCGTGTGTGAGGGAGGGTTGATGGGACAGGAGATGTTGAGGGTTAGTGTGGGGGAGGAAAAAGTTTTGGAGGTTTTGTAAATGTTTACCATACTGCTGAAGGACAAAAGGACAGGCAACATGATAAACCCTGAACCCTGAAGGCAGAACAGACAAGCGTGTAGAAGATTCTAGAGTAAATCAGTTTCACCTGGCCGCAAACTACAAGGCAAATTTATAACTCACAAGTCGTGGCACAAATGACTCGATTACTATCTAGTAGAAAATAAAATACGCACATCACTTAGCATGCTATTGGAAACCGGTAGTTATTGACTTACTTTTATATATATATTTTTAATGGATGTTAACGGCTACCGGTTTCCAACATTTTTCTAAATATCTTATCTTTTTAACAGAAAAAAACGCTCAAAGATATAGAACCTCTTCAGGACTGAGTAAAAGTACATTTCATTTTTGGGTAAACTTTCTCTTAAATATGCACAAATAAAAGCATTACCCTGCATTTAAAAATATATATCTGTCTCAATAAAATACAAAGTAGTTACAGCAGTGTCCATCATAATGCACATGCGTTCGCCTCTATTCAAAATGACCCGGAAGTTCATGTCTAGCTGAAACACTATTGGCTGTACTGATCTTTGAGCCTGAGTGTTTCCACAACGTGAATTATTAAGTTATTATAACGAAAATTAAGTCAATTTTACACAATGTGTGACGGATATACAAGAAAAACACTCTTAACACGTTAAGTATTTATAACACAAAATGTCAGGTGCATTTTTTTTATCGTGTAACATTAACACTATTAAAACCCCATTTACACATCTAACGTTAACGTTATACCAAAATGTTACGCTGGTGTATAAACCAGCTGTTAGCAAAATTATTCATTAAATACATCGGGTTAGCTCTGAACCTTATTGACATAAACCAACCTTTCACCCACACTTCACGTGCCCATATTAACTAACAACTTCAGCATCAAATCATTTTTACACATTGAATCTGGGCACGACTGCATTACTAACCGTGACCTTGCAGTCGCAGTTGATGGGGAGTTATAAAACATCACGCGAAACAATTCAACACAACATAGTAACATCTCATTCAGACGGAGTAGTTGGATTAATTATCTTACGCGTCTTACCATTTTAGCTGATCTTTAAGAAAACCGCGTCCGACAGAGCAGCAAGAGACCGTCACACTGGACCACTTCACTCCTGCGATCCACGTGAAGAAGAAATGTCTGGAAGGGCACTGCGCATGCGCCACAAGACAATCCCTACCGACCCCAGACCTGCAATCTAGAATATTCCTCGATCTCCCAAACCTTACATAAAGACATTTGACTCTTTTTTTGTTGTTTCGTAACAAAGGAGAAATTTTTATCTGATTGTTACAGCATTTATAACTTGCACAATATTTAAATGAATAATACATGTGCTGCTTCAGTACAAAATTTCACGTTATTCAAACACATTTAATATAGATGATTTTTATTTTTAAAAGATAAAATTGACAAATAACTCAACTCAAATGCATTTTTAAAAGCTATCTTGAGCTTTCTACATAATACTAATATTATTAATAATAAAGTATTGTAATTATATAATATAAATACACATATATTGACTTAATATGTAGATAATCTATAAGAAAAGGTTATAATATTAGACCTTTAACAAAAAAAACAACGAAATTTGCAAAACGCAATACCATTTCTGGTTGCACAATCTTGACCTCTGACGTCTATTTTTCTCCAATAGAATCTGCGAAATTTCTCGAACTTAAAGCCCCGGAACGAGCATAACACCGATTTAATAGATATTAATGATACATTTTGTTCACATTTTCTCCCACTGTCGTCAAAATACGTCAATTATTATTGAGACAAAAGTTGCTGAAAGCGTATGTTTTAAAAAAAGCATAACGCATACATAGAATGTGAGAGTATTGAGTTATGCAGATGTCAGGGCTGCGGGGGAGGTTACCCGGATGAAGAACACATGTGCGTCGAGTGGAACTGCAGCGGCTCTAAAGCGGCTCCTCTTATATCATTCAGCCTGCTCCGCTGACGGACACGCGCATCCCTTCATTCACCTCCAGATCACTCTGCAGTAAGTCACTCAGCATTATCCTCATCCATAAAAGCCTATAAACACAATATATTGCTTAATGCTCTTTAATGCCAAGCTGATATAAAGATAATTGAAATCAGTGAGCTCAAACAGGCAGGGACGTATCGTAGCATGTAAGTTAATCATGTAACACACTGTCACGTTGTTTCTCAGAGTTATAAAGTAGCATCGTGCATGTTTCTTGTCGAACGACTTGTCAATTAGTTAATTTTTTTTTAACATTTATCCTTGATGACAGATGCAGCCATTAGAATAGCCGGCTTTATAGTAAGCAGGGTGTTTTGCATATTATAACGTTATGCACTTATGCTGACAACTGTAATGCATGTGTTTAATTTAGCTGTTGCTTTATAAGCAATTTAAGACAGTATAATAGTGGTTATAGGTGTTCAGTTGACTATTGCAAGTTATGCTATATTGAGGCCTACGAATATTAAATATTTTTATGTTTGGAATATTTAAGCGGTGTAAAATCTACTATGGTTGATTTTGATTAAACAAAAGGAATATCCAGGGAACTTTATAACGTGAACTCATGGAGATGAAAGGCATCATTTCCGTCTGTGTCGTGACGCGGAGTGATTTTGACCTTGTGACGCCCTGAACACACGTGGGGTAGTAGAGGGACTCACTACAGGCTTTACAAGACACGATTGTTTAAACATTAGTATTTACATTAAATACAAAATAACATTACACTGAAAATGTTAGTCTAATGTTATATTAAACATTTTTTTAAATGCATGGTACTCTGATTTTACGAAACATTGTTGTAAGTGTCCATGTGATCCATGAAGTGATGATATCGTATATTCCAGAACATGTTTTAAGGGGAGGTGCTGACATTTTGGACACCAAATAAGAGGAGAATTAGCTTAAAAAATGAATGAATGGCCAGTGTAAAGCATTGGAGGGGGCGGCGAGTGCAAAGACAAATTTTTGGCATCCGTATCATGTGACCTCGACACAAGGCTTTTTTTCCCTTGCTGGTTAGGGATTGTTCAGATATTATCCTTGTTCAGATATTTTTTTCTGTGTGTGACTGCCATGCATTAAATGTACTCTATGCCTAACCGAACACCGAAATTGTAATGAAAAATCACACTAGGATCTTTTAAGAAACTGATTCTTCGATTTGTTGGCTACTATCAGCCAATCAGTAAAGGATTTCTGCCTGCTTCAACCAATGTTTGTCAGTTTTGGGCGGGGCCACGTCATTGATTAAATCAGAGGTTCTCAAACTGGGGAAAGGGGTCATTCATGCAGATTTTATTGTAAAATATTAGCCAAACAAAATAATAAATTAACTAATAATAATAATAATAATAAAAATTTAATTAATAAATTACAAATTATTACTATAAGCATTTTTTAAAAGAAAATGTATACCATCTAATTATTAAATGAAGATGAACATTTGTGAGATTCAAATAAGTAATTTAAAAAACAAATATAATAAATAACATTTAGATAATTGCAAGTTCTAACTAATAACATTTGAATGTGTAAATATCATAATTAAATTATTATAGTAATTGTAATAGTATATTATTAGTAGGAGGAACAAAATAATATTGTAGCCTAATACTAAATAGAAAATAAATGTGTATATATTATAATGTGCGTTTTTTTTTTTCTTTTTTTAAATGGACCAAAAAGTTTTTATGAGTATGTGTATTATAATATTTTTATCATTCAAAATCGCCTATAGTGTTGATGAAGCCAAGTAGAGCTGTGAGATTAATCAAACTCGTATCCCAATTTAAAACGTTGTGATTAGTTATTCGCAAGAGGCTGCAATATGAAATGTATATATTGTTTAATTTCCCCCACCCAGAGCACATGAGCGACTGATGGCTGTGTGTGACAGTCTTACCAGCCAATTGAGTGAGCACACTTTTGTTCTGCTCAATCAGAATTTTGCAACCGAACTACAGCCACAATAAAAAAGAGAAACCAAACCGGAAAGCGCTGATAAGTGGGATGATGGTGTCGGCTGCTTCAGAAGCATTAATCGACAAATTAATACCAAAGAAAAACAGCACTGGGAATATTTTGTTTTCAAAGTCAAAAACAGGTCATTTTTAAGAGCTGTTGCAGAATTGTTGCCACAACTTAGAATATTGAGCTCGACTACAAAATTATTCGTAAATCCAATAGCAATATCTGTCAGAAAAATCGCAATTAGCTATTTTCCCCAAATCGCACAGCCCTAAAGCCAAGTGTGGCTGGCTGTAAATAGTGTAAAATCATTGGATATTTTGTGCATATTTACTGAGAAATGACCAGATATGAGCAAATTTTTATTATATTCCATTTTTTTGTTATTTATTTTATAAATTAAATGCTGTTTATCCTGTAAATTACAAATAAACAAGGGCCTCTGAATGATTCTGAAACACTTTGTTTTAAATTAATTGAATTCATTTTGTAATTTTATGCCTTTCTCTAAATTAATTTCAATAATTGCTTTATTGGCATGACAAATGTTACAAATGTATTGAATAAAAAGTTTACATAAAGTAACATACATGTATAATAAAAAAACAGTACACACAATATATAGTAGTAAAGCAAAAAAAAACATATAATATTCAAATAAAATACAATATATTTAATATATCATGTTATTCAATATATCATATTATTTATACAATTCAATTATAAACATAATTGATCAGAATAAACTGTACATTTTAACAATCAACATTTTAGGATAAAACAGTAATAAAAACAACAACAACAACAACAATAATAATCTTTCTCTCTCTCTCTCACTCTCTGATAGAAATGCTGCGTTTACCCAGTGTCATGAGACAGATGAGGCCTGTGTGCAGGGCTCTGGCCCCTCACCTGACCCGTGCATATGCAAAGGATGTGAAGTTTGGAGCAGATGCCCGGGCCCTCATGCTCCAGGGTGTTGACCTGCTGGCTGATGCAGTGGCCGTCACCATGGGGCCAAAGGTGTGCTGGGATTAATAAGTCGCCAGTCAAACAAAACCACCATCCTTTCTAAATCACGTTTTTAATCATTGATGGAAGAAAAGCTACTAGATTTCCCTCTCTCTGTCTTTCAGGGTCGCACCGTCATCATTGAGCAGAGCTGGGGAAGCCCTAAAGTTACCAAAGATGGGGTCACAGTTGCTAAAAGTATTGATCTGAAGGACAGGTATAAAAATATCGGAGCCAAGCTGGTTCAGGATGTGGCCAACAACACTAATGAGGAGGCTGGAGACGGCACCACCACCGCTACAGTTCTGGCCCGGGCTGTCGCCAAAGAGGGCTTCGACACCATCAGCAAGGGGGCAAACCCAGTTGAGATCCGTAGAGGAGTCATGATGGCCGTAGAAGAGGTCATCAGTGAACTCAAGAAAAACTCAAAGCCCGTCACGACTCCAGAGGAAATCGCTCAGGTAAAAAGTGGCATTAAATGGAAAGTTCTGTAATATAATATCAGCCTCATATTGATCCATTTAAAGTGACACCAGGAAAATTTTTTAAATTTTGATCATGTATTAACACTAAAATTCACATTTAATTGGTGTGTTCGTTTTTGTTTTTAAATATATTTATTATTGAATTTTTTTGCCATGAAAATAGCCTTGGTTGCTGACATGGCATTAAATAAAAAATACACTACATTACATTGATGCAGTTTCTTAATACATCAGATTAAAAGTTAGGTTATAATAAAAGTTTGAGTTTCACCCATTAGTGACAATCTCTTCTTCATTAGCGTTGGACGTTGGGGATTACTCACACTCTGCTATCCGAACCATGCCCATGCCCAGGCACATTTCCCAGTTCATTTGACAAGTGTGAGTGCTGCGAATCGGGCCAAAGTGCGGTTAAGAGGTGTGCCAGAGTGTTGTTTGGTTGGGCTTTGGCACATTACGCTTGTAGTGTATGTATTAAATTAAAATCCGGGTAATTAAGGTCTTAAATTGTCTTTAATTTTACCGTAAAGTGGCTGTAGGTATAAAATTTTCAGCCAGTGTGCTTAATGACGATAGGGAAGCACAGTGGTCCACCGTAAAACATCTAATAGTTGATTAATTTAGCACTTGTAAAACAGGAGAGAAATGACAGTCTCCGTGATTTATTAGCTTATTACGGTGGGTCAGCTACAGAGTACAGACGCTTGCGTCGGTCTGTACCTGCGTGCTGTTATTATGCGGTTGTTGATGTGTCAAAATGCAAAGATGGAAAATTGTACATTTAACGACGTGGCAAAAAGGCAATGTGTGAATTCTGCAAAAAGACCTTTTCGTTAGGGACCATGGGGCTCAAAGTTGTCAAGTCGCACATGAAAGGAGGAAAGCAGCAGCGGGACGTTGCAGCAGCTTGTCATAGCAGGTCCAGGTTAATCCCTGCATTGTTTGCAGCTCGACCTAACAATGTTACTAGTTACTAATGTTAGGCCTATAGCCTATGTTATGAATAAGTAATGTTAACCCTTTTAAACAACTCATTCATAAAAAAAGACAAAAGAGCTGTGTGCCTTTGCACATTTGGATAATGTC